ATAAACGAGTAAAACAAACAATATCAAACAGTGACCGTATCCATTAATTCTACTTGAATTCTTCATCATTTTTTGTCATTATTCTCTACTTAACGATATTGGAATTAAAGTGTTTTTACCCTAATAATTTAATGATACCAGCTTAAATTACAGCAGCTTAATTACTTTACTAAGATAAAAGGTATTTGATGAACTTTTATCATCTTTCTGGCCTGGTGCATGATGGGAGGAAGAAGCGATAAATTCTACAGAACATCTGTTCACCACATATTAAATGTTCATGATTAATGATAGAATTTAGTGAAAACGAAACTATTTAACTACGCTAAAGAGAAAAATTCATTATTGAAAAAACATTTTGCAAAGAAAGAATTATTATCATAACTATAATGACAAAAAGGTAAATTATACACCATGAAAAGATGAAAAAACTTACTGAAGTTTCGGATGATAATACTCTTGGGCATCAACCAACTGCTTTGGGAAACAAAACATTTTACGATCGAGATGTATGACATCTCATCTCATCTCATCTCATCTCATCTCATCTCATCTCTTTTTTACATAATATTTTAATGACAATTATTTAGAGTTAGGAATGCCAAACCACTAGACTAAATATTATTTTCTACAGGGTATGTGTGCCACCCCGAGATGCAAGAATGGCGGGGTTTGCATAACGCTGGTAAACGACTATCGCTGCCACTGCGGACAAAGATTCGCTGGCAAAAAATGCGAAAACCGTAAGTTATGAAAGTATTCCTTGTGCATGGCTTTATTCATAGGGTCTATATAATGCTGGTTATTATGACTTCAGTGACTGAGTGTAAAGAAGTATTCCTTGGGCATGGCTTTATTCATAGGGTCTATATAATGCTGGATAATATGACTTCAATGACTGAGTATAGAAAGAAGTATTGCTTGTGCAATATTTTATAAATAGAGTCAAGTCATAAGACTGCTTTGCACCTAGATCGGAAAGCTCGGAAACAAATAAAATGAAATGTAAAAAGAAAGTATCATTCAATGTTTTCAATTATTCGTATTTCTTTTTATGCAGTTGCTTGCAATACTAGTTCTGCGCTTGGAATGGAAGACGGTACAATTCCTGACCAACAGCTTACAGCCTCAACCACTTATGATGGCAGGTTCCTACCAGCCTATGGAAGACTTTACATTAAGCGTAGACCATGGGCCCCCAAGAAGCATGATGCCAATCCGTGGTTTCAAGTGGATCTTGGCATCGTTGCCAAGGTAGTAATAATAATAATAATAATAATAATAATAATAATAATAATAAT